CTACAAATACCTGGGGATGATACCCTTACGGGTGAACTATCTGTGAACACTTTCGGAATTACCAAGATAGGCTGTATCATCAAGAAATATCATGACCCTCCAGCTACTTCACAATATAAAGCAGACTTGCGAAAATTGTAAACTATAGTACTTAAATTGTGGCAAAATTTGTTTCGTTCTATTTGATTTTTCTTCATCTATCTTTCCATCCTCTGAATCGATGCTCTTGCATGTAAATATCCTAGGTTTCTATCACAGACAAAATGGTAGAAAACATGGATCATACCATACCATAAATTTTAGTCATAGAATGTTATGTATATAATATGTATACAATGCCCACATAAATCAAGTAAGTAAACACATTTTTAGAGCTCGTAAAATGTGTCAGAAAATATAATGTGACTGATAAAATTTAACGAGCTTAGACCAATTCCTTTTTTTATAAATAAAGCTATAAAATCTGCTTTTCCGTCTATAATAGTAATTATTTGCGTTTAAGTGAAGAATGAACTCAATAATTTTCAATGTGAAATATGGTTTGTTTTATACGTCATAATCATATTCCAGCTTACACTTATGGACAAAAACATCGAAATTTATTTATAGTGTTCAGAATATCTTGGTAAGAAAATAAATTTTAATGAATACAACTATAGGTCAATTAAATTAGTTTTTACTGGACATATAGTATGAGATATTACAAAAAGACTCTCATTTAGGGATTCATCAAATTTTTAGTGGAAATATTTGTAAATAAACCATCAAAACGTCAAACTCGTTATTTTGCTCATAGCCTAAACAATTTTCTAGTTAGAAATTTGACGTCAACAGACAAACTTTTTGAAAAAAGGTACACAAAAGATATGCCAAATTAAAATCGGAAAATAAACAAAAAAGTAATTGAAAAATGAAGAACAAAATGGCTGTTTTTGAATATAGTTAATAACTTTTTTATTGGTTATTAAAATTTGTTTAAATACACCAGAACTTGAGGGTCTTACTGTGTTTGAATTGTGTGCAAAAGATGGGCCATATCGGTTGAATAGTTTTTGCGAAATTTAATTTGTTAGTCCAGATAATTTTACTAAATGGATCTCAATAGTCCGGGGCTTATTTTTTGTTCAGTTTTTGTTTTTAAGCTTATAAACATTTACAATGACTCTATAGAATTTATTTCAAATTAAATGGCTAAAAAATATTTGGAAATCTGCAAAAAAAAACAATGTAAATACGAGGTTTGTTAAAAGAATACCCGGATTTTTTAAATTTCGCGGGTATGGAGAGTTCAATCGTCAAATTTTTAAAATCTTGTCAAAAAGAAGAACCTTTTAAATGATATAAATTTACAGTTATTTTACATTATATGTGGTTACAGATTATGATGTTTAAGTTACCGTTGGAATTGGTAACATGGCGACGTATGATCCTACATAGGTAAAATGGTCCTGAGACGAAGTGTCTACGAGGACCTGTTTGTCTTCGAGGACCTGTTGATAACAACGGTCATCGAAGGGTTTTGACCCATATATTTTGGTGGCTCATAGCATGTATACCTTGTTTACACTGATAATGGATTTAACAATCCGAAAACGTTTTTTAATATATTTGTGATAGCCCGTTTGAGCATTTTATTATATACCTTTTATAAAGGATTTGAAATAAATTTTTTGTCATATATGGTATACAGCCAGCTACAGGAACTTAGTTTCCTATTGGATTTTTTCAAATAGATGTCAAAGACCAGCGTATAATATAAAATTTATACTGGAACCAATCAGCCACAATAAGAACAAATCTTAGAAATGAACCGACGGAGGCGATCCAGATTCTGCAAGGCGTTAGACAAGGATGTATACTTTCATCTATATTATTCAACCTATATTCAGAGGAAATATTTAGTGAAGCCTTGAAAAATTGCAAATATTGAATCCTTTTAAATGGAGAACGCCTAAACAATATCGGCTATGCAGATGGCACCGGTATTTTTGCAGACAGTCTTCAGACTCGCAGCCGGTCGCAAAGAAAACAAGGACTAAAGAAGACAAAATAAGCAATGAAACTAAACAACTAATGACAGAAAGAAGACAACTACTAGCGCAAAACAAACGCTATACCCAAGAACAGAGAATAAAGAGAAGGATAAATATAAAATAACAAATATTGTCGAAGACTTTTACACATCCTTGTACAGCTCGCAAAGCCAGCCAAATACAACAAAGGAGAACGTCAAAAGAAAAATAAAAAACGTGGGATCAGAAATACTACCAAATATAAAGGGATTCGAAATAGAAAGAGCTTTAAAAGAGCTAAAAAATAATAAAGCTCCAGGACACGATGGTATAATTGCCGAGCTCTTGAAAACAAGCAAGACATTAAATATCCCTGTACTAACAGAGCTATTTAATAGATGTCTCCATAATAGAATGTTCCCTAAAGAATGGAACGAGAGTCTAATAATAATCTTACACAAAAAAAGGGGACAAATGTGATCTACAGAATTATAGACCTATATCGTTGCTCAGTGAAGTATACAAACTATTTATGAGAATTATTAACAACCGGTTGACCTACAAAATGGACAATTACCAACCGGTTGAACAGGCTGGCTTCCGCAAAGGATATAGTACATCAAACCATCTGCTGACAATGAGAACATTGATAGAGAAGGCAAATTAATAACAACTACCCGTATTTCTTGCCTTCGTCGACTATGAAAAGGCCTAGACTAGTATCGAGATGTGGGCCATAGAACAAGCTATTAATAAGTGTAGAATAGATTCGAGATATAGGCAACTAATACATAATATATATGAAAATGCAACTATGATAGTACAATTAGAAGAAAATACAAATCCCATCCCCATTAAGAGAGGAGTGAGACAAGGAGACGTAATATCGCCAAAGCTTTTCAACCTAGCGCTAGAAGAACAAGGCCAGGAATATATCTACTTAGGCCAAATCCTGAAACTTGGCAAAGAAAACCAAAGTGCGGAAATTACTAGAAGAGCAAGACTAGCATGGGCAGGATTTGGAAAACTTAGTTGGATACTTAAAAACCGCAAAATACCCCAATACTTGAGGAGCAGTGTTCAACCAATGCATTCTTCCTATATGGATGCACATATGGATGCCAAACCTGGACCCTAACCAAGGCAAACATGAATAAACTAGCCACAACAGAAAGAACAATGGAAAGAGCAATGTTAGGTACACGACTGTCAAATAAAAAGAGAAACGACTGGGTAAGATCAAAAATAAAAGTCGATGACATAACAACAAAAATTGCCAAACTTAAATGGAGCTTCGCGGGCCACACTGCTAGACAAAAAGACCAACGTTGGAATACTACAATACAACATTGGAGACCTTACGAAAGTAAACGACCAAGAGGAAGACCACAGATGAGATGGGTTGATGACATTAAAGGAATAGCCGGAACAAATTGGAAATATGTTGATCAGGGTAGAGACGGATGGAAGGAGTTGGGAGACGCCTATGTCCAAACATGGACGATAGAAGGCTAAGAAGACGAAAGAAGAAGAACATAATCCTTTAAGGCAAAATGTTCGGAAAGCGAGGAATTGGGAGAAGACGAATATCATAGTTAAAAACCTGAGGAAATGGTTCTTCACAATAACAACTAATATATTTAATGCATAAGTTAATAAAATAATTACAGCCAGAATTATCGCCAACATTCGAAAGGAATGGGCATCAAAAGAAGAATTAAATTACAATTATTTGCGGCCACTTTTTGACTGGCAACCTATTTATCAATGTATTCTCCTAATTTTAGATGTATGTAAAAATGTGAGTTTGATTAACGTTATGAACGTAGTGATCCTGCAGTGGGATATTGTATATGTATAAGGATTTTTTATCACAAATTGCACAGACAACCGTCGACGCCACTAGTATGAATCACATGGCCTACTACCTAATACCATCACCACATATTTACTTCAATAAGTTGAAACGATTTTCGAAAGTATTGTTCTGAAGCTATTTTCTTGTGGCATTGTAAATTAATTACTATTTATAACTGGGAATAAGCCACAATTAAAGATAAAAATACGTTTATTGACGTTTCAATTTCCAATTCGGAAATCGTTCTCAAAATATATCTAAATTTACTGTTTGTATTTTGAGAACGATTTCCGAATTGGAAATTGAAACGTCAATAAACGTATTTTTATCTTTAATTGTGGCTTATTCCCAGTTATAAATAGTAATTGATTTTCGAAAGTACGAAAAATATTTCATAGTTTTGTCTATAACTTAGAATATTATATAAAAGCGAATATATTGTAAATTGCTACGAAGATAATATAGCGAAATAAAATATAATGTAATAACACTCATAAAAACCGAAGTAAGATATTCCTGAAGCCACACCTGTATGTATTTATACTCTAAGCAATAGTACTAATAGTAGTACCAGATTTTTATAACTTCTTTACTTTCTATCCGAAAATAAAAAAAATACTTGGAAATACTTATAGTAGGTATTATAGGTACCTTTATAAAAATTATGTAAGGAAAACCAACAAAGTACCACTATGTAAATGCAAAGTAACGCTCGCCTACGTCACAATTCACGAATACCTGATGCGCGTTAATAGGTACTACCTGTCGGTGGTACCTGTTGAATAATAAACGAAAAACTTAACATTGTATCATAACTAAAATACACCCAGTTAGACCTTGGACCCGTTCTGATCATTGCATTAGGCAACACTCAAAAGAAGTCGTCTCCAAACGTTACACCTATTTGGGGAAATGTCGAAATTACATAAATAATCATTTCTACTTTAATTATGTGTACTTATCCAAGAGATAAGATAACAATATACGATATACCAGAGTGTTCAAAGCAAGAAAAGTGATTAACCTGAATGTTCGTGTTGATCTGTACTGAAAAATACAATTTTTCGTAAAATAATACAAAGTGAAACAATGTGATAATGTGTTAACCTTAAAAGTGTAGTGTTAAGTACCTCAAAATTCTTGAAAATGCTTTCGGAGCCGTCGAGAAGACCAATTCGGGACCAAGAACTGGCACTAGATAGCGTTGTAACTACACAATCAGAACTTGGGCCAAGCATACCAGATGGGGGATATGGATGGCTTGTTTTTATGGCAACTTTGTTTTTTCAGGTAGGTACCCAAACTTCGTTTTAACCATAACGAGGCTTTTGCGCGAACTAATATTAGTTACGAGGGAGGCACCAAAAATTCTTATCAAACAACCGCAGAAGTTTAGTATATTTTGTATTGCAGTTTATTGATTTGACTCATACTTGATAAAAATATTTATCTATTTGTGTTGTATATTTCTCGTATGTCTATGAGTAATTATTTATTGTATTTCAATTTAATGTTTGACAAGATAAACAGATTAGTAATATTCGTCATATTTTTACTGAAGGTTCGCCTATTAGGTACATTAAAATTTCCAAGTGTAAACTACTCCAGAGAATTAAGTTACTGCCGGGTTTTTGGCCCAGTCCTGTATCTGACACGTCAATGGATCCCTAAATATTCACCCAAATGCACTAGAGTGCATTTGGGTGAATTCTATACACTTTCCGTACATATATTTCTACAGAAAAGTTGTTTAAAATTAAATTTCCTATCGAAATGTCACCTTTTAAACTTAAAAACATTTTTTTTACAAAAATATATTCAAAAACTAAGCAAAGAAACACGAAAACATTCAATTTTTCTTTTTTATCCTATAACTTTTTTCCACGGGGTATAGGTTAGGTATATCAGCAACTAAAATGGTTTATGCCTGATTGAACTCGCAGCAACATTGGGAATGGTGGTAGCAAGCACATATTTTTCTCACAAAAATATCCACAAAGCCACATGGCAATCACCAGATCAAACAAAAAACCAAATTGACCATGTACTAATTGATACACTTCTCGGATGTACTAGATGTAAGAGCATGTGAGGTGCTAATATAGACTCTGACCATTACCTTGTAAGAACAAAACTCAGGGCTCGTATATGAAACGCTAAGAAGGGCTAGAGCACAAAATCTACGAAATATAATATTGATGTGCTAAAATCTGAAGACGTTAGGGATAACTACAGGAAAATTTTAAATGAAGAGCTGACAAGAATCGACGAAAATTTAAGTAATATAGAAGAACAGAAGAAAAGTATAGAAGAACACTGGACCAAATGCAAGGAAGCTATTCATACAGAGGCTAAAGGCTTTTTAAACCCTAACCAGGCTAAATAAACGAAGATTGGTTTGACGAAGAATGTAGATCCATTAACCAACAGAAAAATAAAGTATATAAGAGACTTCAGCAGCGCAGAACGAGATCAAACCTGGAAAACTATGAATATCTTAGACGAGAAGAAAAAAGGACGTTTAGAAGGAAAAAGAAAGAGCCATACGAAAACGCTCTAAACGAGATTGTTAACCACAACAGAAAAGACTCGCGAAAATTCTACCAGAAGATAAACAGCTACAGAAAAGAATTCAAACCCAGCATAACAGCATGCAAAGACAGAGATATTTCCATAATTAATGACAAAGAACAGATACTAAACAGGTGGGCGAATCATTTTGAAGAACTGCTTAGTGACAGTCGTGAAAAAGACCAAATAGAAATTACTTTGCCTGCAATGGATGAAAACGCTTAAGAGCCGACCCCCAACGAAGAAGAAATTAGAGAAGCCATTTCAAAACTGAAAAACAACGAAGCCCCTGGTTTGGACAACCTTCCTGCCAAACTCTTTAAAAATGGTGGCGACACCCTTTTTAAACACATACATAAATTAGTAACCGAAATTTGGCAACGGAAGGAAACGCCCGCAGACTGGAAATTAGGTGTAATGCACCCTCTTCATAAAAAGGGAGATATGATGGTGTGTGATAATTATAGAGGCATCACCATTAATCACATCACAATTAACGTGGCATAGAAAGTACTGTCCAACGTATTGTACAGAAGATTGATCCCCTATGATGAACAAATAGTTGGGAACTACCAGTGCGGTTTCTGACCCAATAAATCAACAACGGATCAAATCTTCACAGTCTTTGTTAGAATCTATGGAAATCAACAAATTAAAAAACACAGATATAATTCTGAACGACCAACTTGAACAAACAGTTCTCCCCTTTTCAACCTATTTCATTAAAGAAACCAGAACACCATTTAACATCAGCGGAAGATTTTATCTTCCAACAGGACGGCGCAGGTTGTCATACCTCAAAAAAGAGTTAATTGATAGAAGACCCATGGCATACCACTTCTGGAATGGGTTTCTAATAGTCCCAACTTGTCCCCGATAGAGACTTTATTCTATTTTATTATATTTTATATATTTTATTATATTTTATATATAAAAAATCTTTGAGAAAACATCCTGTCAGGTCCGTCAACGAATTAAAGCAAAAATTGCAAGAAATATGATATTTGTTTACTTTTGAATTTTGTCAGAACTTGGAAGAATTGTGAAATTTAATTTTCTTATCAGTCTAACGTTAAGCCAACTGATACGGGAAGGGGCTCATATTATTAGTCAATAAAAACAATTTTCAGAATACTATTTTTTACCTTTTATAAAATACAAAGAAAATAAACCAAATATTTTAATACGTGTATCTTGTGAAATTACTACGCAACTGGCTAGAAGTTTTTTTATTACCAAAAACAAAACAATGCACTTCTGTAGGTAATATGATACACTAAAGTTCTCTGACACTAAACACAAACACAGTCAAGATCGAGAGTATCGAGTATCGAGACATGGTCAAGGAATACAGAGCGAGTTAAGCAGCCACTTCCATCGGAAATTTCTTGTTTACGCAATTTTGGTGACAACGCTTCGCTTTAGAATACGGAATATTTTTTAAATTCTAGAATATAAGTACATTTCCATACAAAGGGTATAAAATCCCTGTAACAAAAAATCTTTGGCTTAGCTTTCATTCAGTATTAGTGTGAGTTCGTCTCAATCAACTAATCGTCTTAATTTGTATTTCAGCTTTAGTGTTACTTCATAGAAAGTTATTTGTAAAAGTTAATTAAGATTAATTAATACAGAAGGTTAATTGTTATAAACAAGCCAGCTATGAAGTAAAAAAAGAGACACTCCACTCCTAATTATCGTAGTACAACTTTTTTAATTTGTAAAAAAATGCCAGCTTTTCAAAAGCGAAAAAATAATTCTTTCAAGAGCAATAGAAAAAAAGACATTTAAATTGTTCATAACAAAAATTGCAACATTTTTGTAACCCAGTTTTGCAATGTTGGAAATAGATTTTTTCACTTTTCTAAAATTATTTTCATAGTAAACTCTCCTTCTTGATTATTTTACTCGTAGAATCATAAGTTCAGTTTTTTCTGACTTATATAATTGCAAAAAAAGTTGTTTAGGATAATAAATTAATTGATGAATCACTCTGTTTTGATGATATTTATAACACTACATTAACAAGAAACAAGACCCAACTTCCCACGCAGTATCAAGGCTGTTTGGTTTTATTAGATTTGTTACAGTTTTCTATGCAACAAATTAGTAATTCAACATTTGTATATCGCCATTTTAAAGCTTTAAACGCGTTTTATCAGATAGTTGATACCTGAAATTATGTTAAAAAGGGTTTATTTTTTACTGGTAGGTGAAAGTATTTTAGAAGGGTACATTTTTATCCTCAAATTGTTAATAATTTTAAAAATCCACCTAACCTACTGTAGAAAACAGATTTTATTTATTGAGATCCATAAAACTCGAAAAAGTGTCAGATACGCCCGGGAAAAATTCCTCGGTACTTTTTTCCTTATTTTTCTGTAAAGAGCGTAGGCGCACAATTTCTGGCCAATGCTTTTAAATACATTCATTTTTTTCGAATCCTGAGAAAACTAACAAATATTTTTTAAAAATTTAAACACAGAATGAAAGATTACATTATTACCGAGGGCCAAAGTCCCTTAGAATAAACAAAAAGTTTTTTTGAATGAGATATTTGAAATTAAAAATCACACTAAATCTTCTCTTCTTTTTCACCCTGTTTTCAGAAAACAGAAGTTTTCAGGGACTTTCGGCCCTGAGTAATAATGTATTCTTTCATTATGCGTTAAAATTTTTGAAAAATACTAGTTTTCTCAGAATTCGAAAAAAATGAATGCATTTAAAAAGCATTGGCCTCAAATTTTGCGCCTACGCTCTTAAGGGTCGTCGTTTGATTATCACTTATATCGGGAACGTAAAGAATTTGTTTATTAGTTTGTTAAAATTTGTTTCAAACTTTACAAAATAATACCATAAAGAAATGACTTTTGGTGATTTCGAAGAAAGTTCTTGGATTGTTGAAGTAAAGAACTTTGTTTCTTTATACAAAAGTAGGAACATGTATTTAGGTTATTTAGGGTATTTAAATGTATGTGCTTATTGACATATCTCTGCGGTAAGGTAAACTTATGTTCTCTGCCACTGAGGCCAACAATACGGATTTAAAGCCTTAAGGCTTCATTTAATTTGCATTTTATATTATATTGGGTTGAGTTTACCGAAAGTACAAGTTTGCGCAGTGTTGGGATGTTTTTATATCCATATATTGTGTGCTTCAAATATAAATAGAGAAAGCTTTTAAAAAGTACATTGTGGTTATACTATTTTTTAGTAAATCTAAATATTAACTACCAAAAGACAAAAATAATGACTGATTTAGTTCTGAGCCATCCTTTAAGGGTAGAAGACGTCGAAATTGAAATTGTTGACAGCTACATATACCTTGGACATACGGTAAAAATTAGCAGAGATGATCAAATTGCTGAGCTGCTAAGAAGAATAACACTGGGATGAGCAGCATATGGAAGACTGCGTGATATTTTTAAAGGTGATATACCTATCAGCTTAAAAAGAAGAGCCTTTACTCAGTGTGTCCTGCCTGTCCTTACATATGACGCAGAGACACTCAGGCAGAGACAAGTGACGCAACGTAGAATGGAAAGATCATTGTTAGGCATAACGTTGCGAGATAGGGTAGGAAACGAAGAAATCCGTAGAAAAAGTGGTGTAGAAGACATTATAAAACACATTCTTCTTCTTAGAGTGCCGTCTCCCTACGGAGGTTGGCAATCATAATGGCTATTTTTATTTTAGAACTTGCTGCTCTAAACAAATCA